CTGCTATCGGGATGTGAAGAGACTTTCAACCAGCATAACAAAATATTTTTCTGAAGACAATCACCTATTGCACCTTTAAGAGTGAGGAGGGAGTGATCCGAGGTGTGCAGTGAAGTAGCCAGTACATGATCAGTGGAGGAGTGTCGTGTGTAAATAAGGTCCAGTTGGTTGCCTGATTTGTGAGTAGCCGTAGTTAACACTCTCTTGAGATCAAAAGAGGCAAGCAGAGTGTGGAAGTCTGCAGCCTGAGGTTTATCTAGGTGGATGTTGAAGTCTCCAAGCATAACTAGGGGAGTACCATCCTCAGGAAAGGTTGAGAGCAGCACATCTTATTCATTCAAGAAGTTACCTTGTGGTCCTGGGGGTCGATAAACAACTATAAAATGGATTTTAAAAGGATGGGTAATAGTGACTGAATGTGATTCAAAGGAGCTGCTAATACCCATAGAAAGTAAAGGAATACACTTCCAGCCATAAGAGATAAGCAGACCAATACCCCCACCTCTAGACGGGGAGTGTGGGGAAATGAGAAATTATTGGCGAGTGCTGCAGGAGTAACAGTGTCCTCTGGTTTGATCCAGGTCTCTGACAGGGACATGAGGTTTAGTCTTGAATGACAAAAAATAGATATATTAAATATAAATATATATATATGACAGATTTTGTGGTTATAATATATATATATATTTACTTATTTATTTTTTGTCCATACAATGAGAGTCAATGGGGTTCAATGTTGTTTGGACACCAGCATTCCTCAAAATATATTTTTGAACGATCACTTTAAGCTTTATATATCATTATTTTTTTCCTCTGCAAGACTACTTTGCTTTTTACCTTTTATCCTCCTTGTTTGCTGTCCAGCAGGTTCTGATCAGATTTGTGATGTTGTGACTGAAGTGAATAAGAGAGACAAAGGTTGAGTCTTAAACCTGATCTAAACATATCATTCAAAATATGCTAATATAATTTATTCAATAATGTTGGCTTTTTTTAAAAGATGGTCCAGAGCCACTGGCAGATGTCACATATTCAGAGGTTACTGTCAAGAAAAACAAGAAAAAGATGGACAAAGGTAAAAATAATAAACCCTCTTCACTTCACCTGTACAGTATAATCGTCGTCAGTACATGAATACATTGCTTAGTAATGAATTATTATTGTTTCTTATAATTTATTATTATTAATAATTGTTTTTCCAGATGATAGCATGGCAGAGCCAAATAATGTGACATACTCAGAAGTCAGAAAAAAAGTAAAGAAATCCAAAAACAAAGGTGAGATCCTGTTTTTTTTTTTTATTTATTACAATATTTCCAGTATGTTCTGAGTAATCTGACTGATGAAGTAATTTCCTGAAATAAGACCCACACTTCCAATTTATGTAAGAACTTGATTGAAGAACAAATAATAATCAGTGATCAAGTGAACCATTTAAAGTGACAAAAACATTATATTGTATTCCTTTAAGGACTTTAAATTTAGCGCACAAACAATTGCTGTGTGTGTTTGTGTGAGTGTGTGTGTGTGTGTGTACTGTATTCAGTCACTAGCTGTGTTGCCGTCTACCTTTTTTTTATGTGAATTTTGGAATATCACAAAAAATGCTGGATGGAAATGTTAAGACTCGCATAAATTCTAAACATGTGCACAAAAAAAAACAAAACACGTATGTGCTCATTTGAGGCGGATGGTGTTTTTATCCAGTAAGAAGATATGCACGTAAACTATGATGGAAACACATTTGACATAAATCCCTTGATGTGCAACAAAAACCTCACATGACTTTGCCTCAATAGAGGACGTGACTGGATAACTGGAATCATCATAAGGAGTTGGTTGTTACATTTTTAATGAACTGTTACAACTATCCCCACCCCAAACAGCCATAGCATAGCAAACTGTTTTAGCACTTCTCCTGTAACATTAAAAATGTGAATGGAGTGATATTGATGACATCACCACAGCTCCTTTCTGACTTGTCAAACTGACAGTGTTACAACTAACCCTGTGTTACTTTCATCCCCGGTCCTATTGTAGTTCAAATGCAACACAGGCTCATCGTAAATACATGCCTCTACCTACATTACTGCAAAACTGAAAAAACGTATGATTCACTGCAGTTTTCAGTCGAAATGAACACTAGGGAGGCAGTAACTCAGACAACTTTTATTCTTTTTTCACATAAGTATAATTTAAAGGTACAGAGTTTTGATTAATAAAGGCAACATTTTCACACAATTACTTGCAGAATATGAAGTTATGACTTCAAAACAAATTTAACATCCTGTACAATTTGAAAACTGAGGCTTGTGAATGTTTTCGTCACATATGCAGCTTCCTATGCATGAGTTTTCTAATTGATAAGGTTAGCTCGGTAGCTCACGCGATACGGCGTTGTACTTGAGAGATGAAGAGCTCCGGTACGAACCACGTGAAACTATGGATCGACAAAACAGCTTAGATCCGCGTAAGGAAGTTAAAATAGCAGTTGCATCAGTGAATGTGTTTTTATATTACTTTTGCATTTAACACTATCAGGTAAGTTTAGGGTTGGGTTTGGTGTAGGGGATGTTTCCAACACGATAGAGCATTAACCTTAAGCCACACTCCCAGAATATTTGAATTGTGAACAGCCACAATACATACCTCAAGCAGCGTAATAAAAATGCTGCAATACGTGCCTGTACCAACGTAATAAAAATGTGCCACAGTCACGTATTAAACGTGTGTTTTAGCGCCACTCTCTGGACATTTCACTTTGAAACTGCCGCGAAACGTGCAGTAAGTTACATAATTACAGTGTTGCAGAAATGTATGTAGAGGCACGTATTTCCAATGAGCCTGGGTTGTTCAAATGTCTGTTGTTCTGTATCAGGAAAGAGCAGTGAGTCTGGAGACACTTTGTACTCTGAACTGAAGCACAACACAGACAGAGGTGAGAGAAACACAAAGTCAAGCTTCATCACTGTTACAGTCAAACCACTGACCTTAAGAATTAACCATCAAGCACCGTTTCTGCTACACATCACAATGATTCCTAAAGTCACGTGGCTTGTTGAAGAAATGTAAAAATCTTACAATGTATCATCATTTTATTCTTATTGATTATTTGTGTTCTTCAGGTGCTGATGCTGGTGATTCAACTTATGCTCAACCTATTAGGAAGAAGAATAAAACACGTAAGAATTATGTTACAATGTACAGTAATCTTACAATACGATTTAGATCATTTATAACTGACTATCAGCTCATAATTTGCACTCCTTCCTGCAGCTTGTGGCATATGTGACCTGTGCTGGCAAAATGAGTCACAATGAGCACATTTTCAAAAATGAGTTATTTTTTTTATTTTCACATTCTCCATTAAAATACCTTCAAAATGATACATGATTTTTTTTGGAAACGGACAAAAAATGACTGCGCTACACCCGTTTGAATTCGACAGAGTCAGCAAACTCAATTCTGAGAAAAATCAAGTTGAAGTTTTTGGAAGGTTCCAAAGCAAAATCACCTTTCAATGTTGCATTGTTTCCTCCACTTCCTTTCTTAATATTAATTAGCCTACTATATTAATAAGCACAATATAGCCATTTTTTTTTATTTTATCTTTGTTATTAAAATAAGAACAGATGCAAAAAAACAACAACAGAACAAATATAAGAAAGAAACAATTAGGCCTATTGCATTACTTTTTTCATTTTACATCTAAACAAAAGCATTCAACAAAAACATATAATGAAATGTAATATAAATATAGCTAAATAATCAAATCACTTCAGTGTGTTCATTACAAATAAATTGTTTATTAAAACTACAAAAGCAGTTCAATCAAGAGCAGCGATATTTTCTTTTATTGTTGATAACATTAATAAGACAGACAGCCTATAAGACCTGGATCTAATAATATTACACATCAGATGTTTTCCCCAATTATTCCCCAAGCATTCACTTAAGACATAGCAGATTATGTTTGCGTGAATAGCATAATTACTGTAATTCTGTGTATACAGTATGTGTATGTATCGGTTTAGTATCTTGAGATACTGGAAAAAGGAAACACAGAGGAGCCAAAAGTACTCGATTGTCATTTTATTGAGGACCCATCGCAGCGTTTAGACATACACACCAGCATGGCAATAGGCCCTTTTCACGTGACGTCACGCAACTTCCGTTCTGACGCGAAGCAGGGTATTCTTACTTCCGCCAGCATCCGAGATTTGTCGTTTGAAGTCGAGGGAGGAGTTGAAAACGGAGCACTGCAGTCACTGATTCCCGCGACTCTCACGCACTGTTTGATGTCTTTATTGCAGTTAGATGAAGTTGGTTAAATATATTTCTCAAATAAACAAACGTTTTAGACATTTACATGTGGTAACAGAAAGCCTTTTCATTCAATAATTTATGTCCTGCTTAATACAGCGCCTGTATGTACAAGAATAGTTCAACATAAGCTTGTACTATTTAAATATCAATAACAAATCTGAAAGCAAGCAGTTGCGGCAAGCAAGCCACCCATCTAAAGCCGATGCAGAAAAACGTTCGCAAAATAACCCGACTGTAAGTACATTCACATTATTAGTCTTAACTCTTAAATAATGCCTTTTATATTTCAAGTTTTTCCTACATTTTCCCGAGAAGTCTCCGGTGTAAAGGTATAACGGAAGTACAGATACACTGCTTTGCGGGAAAGCGGAAGTTAGCTGACGTCACTGTGAAAAGGGCCTATAGCGCGCACCCAATACGCTTCTTCACAGCCTTTAAATAGTGCACCAAACCATACAGAATGGTGACCGTTACCACCCCCTGCTGGTCAAATCTAAATATGCACATACAACACTCCTCCCTGCTTAAATCCAAAAAAAGTTTTTCTCCAATCAGCAAACTTGAGGGGAAAAACACTGCTCACATACAATACAATTTTCAATAAAGTGCAATTTCAAAATTTTGTAACTGTGTGCGTTTTTTTTTTTTTTTTTTCAAAAGTGCCACAATTTTTTTTTTCATCACAGTCCTTTAAGTGTGCTAGTAATTTTTACATCACAAAGTCCTTTAAGTGTAAGGGCAGTTTCCGTTCTCTTACTGAATGTCGTAGACCCCCAGTAAGTACAATTTCAGGGTTTTTTACTTCTGCAATTTATGTCACTTCAGGAATGGTAGGAGCACTAGATAACTCGGGCAACAGCCTACTGGAACATTCGGTTTGCAAATTTTCAAGCTCCTTTTGCTCAGGAGTAACACCCAAAGTTGGTATTATGGGAGTACTGGGTGATTTGGGCACTTGAACATCAGTATCCTGAGACCCAATATCAGCATCACATAACTGAACATCCATGCTCGGTTGGTAATCAGTTATAATTTATTTTTGTTGGCGACTAAATAATTGATCTACATGATGTTGCACTATTTGAGCATTCCCCAAAGCTACTGTATAAGATACAGGTCCTGCAATGTCCTGAATTACTCCATGCACCCATTTTGGTCGGGTATACACAGCATCTCCAATCTGGAAATAACGAGATTTCACATGTTGATCATGATACTCTTTCTGAACTTGTTGTTTCCTTTTCATTTTACCAGTGAAGTCAGGATGTATCTTGTCTAAAGTGCAACGCAATTTTTTTCCCATCAGCAATTCAGCAGGAGATACGATAAATAAACAGAGCTCTATGTAACTTGGTCTCCAGCGTGTTCCCCAAACTTTTATTCATTAGGTCTTTGAAAGTTTGAACTGCTCGCTCTGCCAATCCATTAGATGAGGGATGATACGGTGCAGAAGTAACATGGGTTATTCCGTTCTTAGTCATAAAGTCTTTACTTGCTTCACTTACAAAACATTGGGCATTATCAGACACTATCATTTCAGGAATCCCATGTACACTGAAACTTTTTCGCATACACTCCAAAGTAGCTGCTGTTGTTGCTGAACTTACGGGGATAGGCATCAATCCACTTAGAATGAGCATCAATGATAAATAAGAACAATTTACCTAGAAAAGGGCCTGCATAATCCATGTGAATTCTCCTCCATGGTTGTCTGGGCCACTCCCATGGGTGAAGCGGGGCCCTCACAGGGGATTTTCATTGTTCTTGACAGACAGCACAATCTCTTACTCAAGTTTCAATATCAGCATCCAGATTCAGCCACCATAGGTAGCTCCTTGCCAAACCTTTCATCTAGGACATACCTGGGTGGGATTGATGCAACTGTTGCAACAAACCTGAACATCCCTGTTCTGGAATAACAACACAGGCTCCCCACAGCACACATCCGTCCTGAACACTGAGCTCTTGCTGTTCCTCTTCCTCTTGCAGATAATTAGCCCTCTTTGACTGTTTTCCTCTCTCCCATTTCACAGTTTTCTTGCCTTTGTTACTAGCAATTTCTTGTGGTTTCATTCTGCACACTCTTTTCACATGTCCAATTTTACCACACTTGTAACATTTTTCTTTGGCAAACTTACAGTCTTTTGACATATGTTTAGTTCCACCACATCGATAACACATTCCTGCACCCTTTAAATTACTTCTTTCTTCAGTGTCCATCTTGAAAACAGTAGTACACACACAATTTCCTTTCTCTCTGTGCAAATCTGCCATATCCTTATTTGCAGTTTCAATAGCCTGAGCTTTCTTCAGTGCAGTTTCAAACGTTAATCCATCCAGTATTAACTCAGCCAGTAATCTCCGTTGTATGCTGTCATCATTAACACCACACACTAATCTGTCTCTCAGCATAACTGTGAGTGTGTCTCCGAAATTACAATCTTGTGCAAGTTTTCTTAATTCAGCCACATACTCTACTATGCTTTCATCATGGCGTCTGTTTCTTGAAATAAACTTCCACCTCTGAACTAGTTCACTTGGCTTTGGATAAAAGTTGTTTTTCAGTAAACTCACCAATTCTTCAAAACTCTTTGCATCTGGTTTGTCTGCAAATTCCTCATCAATGTGTACGTCTGCGCTCCAACACAACTTAACAATATGGCTCGTTTCTTCTCTGTGCTTTCAACATCATTTAACACAAAAAAATTATTCAATATTTCACAATACTCTTCCCATGATTGTGACTTACTATCAAATGGTGTTACGGATACAACCATTCCAGCCATTGTTTCTTCAATCAATCATTCCACATGGTAGCAACTTGTTTCAATCAGCTCAGCCGCTTCAGCATCCTGTTTCTCCCTTGCATCTCTGAAACCGCTGCTTCATCCTTATTTGTCTTTGTTTATCCTCATCCCCTTGTTTATCCTCGTCGCCATATGTAGTATCTTGAGATACTGGAAAAAGGAAACACAGAGGAGCCAAAAGTACTCTAAAAAAAAAAGTACTCTCCAAAAGTCACTTTATTGAGGACCCATCGCGTCCTAGACATACACACCAGCATGACAAATCTCAATATGCACATACAACAATCGGGATCTCGCGCTCACGTCACCTCCCGATACATACACGCCCCTAGTATAGCCCCGCCCCTCACATTTATTGACAGCTTTCTGTGTTGATGTCAGAAATTCAAATGCAAAAGGAATTGCGATTCCATTTGAGTTTTGGCAGATTGCATGCGCGACACAGAGAGAGTGAAAAAGCAGACATGGTAATTGATATTGTTATTTAAATATGACAGGCTCATAACTCGTAAGCCATGGGATGTTTCAGTTGCAAATGGACTTCGCTTTTTCATTTGAAATTTGACAGTTACTGTGCGTTCGCGAAAGTGAAAACGCAGACGGTAATGCAGATTTGCAATTGCGTTTGGATTATGTCAAAGTTTATGCGTCCACATATGGAAAACGCAACTGAAAATACAATTTGCAATTCCTTTTGAAAATGGTCTTGAATATTCTTCCATACGTGCGCATACCGACTCATTTTGCCAGCACGCGTCACATATATTGATTATTTTACATTATAAATCTGCTTTAACTGATTCAGTTATTTGTGATGATCAGAGGTTCATTGTGATCTTAAAACTAAATCATCAGAATGAGCTCAAAGTTGATGAGCTGCATCATCTTTTATCTGTTAAAGGTCCCTGAGTGCAGTGAAGACAACAGACGGCTAAAAGAGATTCACAGCAGCAGACACTGTAAAGCATGCCTTGCTTAAGAAATGAAACTGAGTGAACTGCTTATGCACATGCTTGACTGAAATACTTATGCACTGTATTATCTGTATCTCTAACAGTATTTTTTTTTCTCCAGTGAGCACTTATGTTTAACACAGTTATAGGTGAAACTGCTCTATTAGTTACTATTACATTATTATAAAATTGCTGTGCAGCAACAATAGTGTTTGATTATTAGGTGTAAATACAATGCATTTTTGTGTGTGTCCATCTGTAAACTTTTCTTGGCTGCTCTGACTCCACCCTACAAGGAAAGAGTCCATTGCGGTGTAGTGTGTTACCAATGTTTTGCTTGGTGACTGTGGTCCCAACTGCCTTAAGACGATTAACAATCTCCCCCGTGTAGTTCTGGGCTGATCCCTCACCTTCCTCATGATCATCCTTACCCCATGAGGCAAGATCTTGCACGGAGCTCCAGACCAAGGCCGATTGATGGTTGTTTTGTATTTCTTCCATTTCCAAATAATCGCACCAACAGTTGTTTCATTCTCACCAAGCTTCTTGCTGATGGTCTTGTAGCCCATTCAAGCCTTGTGCAGATCTACAATCTTGTCTTTGACATCCTTTGACAGCTCTTTGGTCTTGCCCATGGTGGTGGGAGAGGTTAGAATGGAAGATACAGATTGTGTTCTTTCTAGTTGGTAGGGGATCAAATACTTATTTCACTCACTGAAATGCAAATCAATTTCTAACCTTTATATAATGTGTTTTCCTGGATTTTTTTTTTGGTTGATATTCTGTATCTATCTGTTAAAATAAATCTACCATAAAAAAATACAGACCCTTAATTTCTTTGTAAGTGGGCAAATTTACAAAATCAGCAGGGGATCAAATAAATATTTCCCCCACTGTATGTTTATTTTTGTAGAATGGTCCTTTGTGCTATCATCCACACATGCAAAGTTGGTTGATAACATAACTGCAATAAAATAATAGCCTAGTTAACAATTACTTGTTTACATAGGATACATAATGTTATATTATTTAGGCACTTATAGGCTATAGTTTGACAGAATGTTCTATTTCAACATGCCATGGGAAGTCAATCTAATTTAACATTTTCTCATATTGATATTGTTTATTTACTCCTTACCAGTTCATCAGGTTTTTAATGATTTAATGCCATCTCTTGGAATAACCGAAGGCCAGGTTTTTCCATCGCTAGCATTTGTTATGAAAAACAACCACCTGCACATTTAGAAACAATAGCTACAAAATACCACCGTAATATAAATATATAGGGGAAAAAATCTATTCCCTCAACAGATTATATATTATAAATTCTACAAGTTAGACAAAATTTACCACAATAAATAAGCCTACAATAAAATGTGATAAATTCTAGTAAAGGTGGTCATGAGTAGGTTAAAAATATTTGAGTATATGTCAGTGCTGGTGCAAGATTGTTTTCTTCATGTTTTCATCAGTCTTTTTAGTTTATGTGCCTTTTAGATAATATTCGACTTTCTTCATAGCATTTTAAAGTGCCAATTTCTCAATAGAATTCAAATAGATCGCACATCAGCTTCATGGAACGACTTGCGCAAATCTTATCACACTTCTCGAGCGCCGATGAACGTGTGCAGAGTGTACTGTGATTCACGTGCAGCTCGTGCACAAACTGCGCTTCAGTCATATTGTGCTGATAACTGCTCAGGGGTGCGTTTCCCAAAAGCAACTATGGTCGCAAGTTCCGTCATTACCAATAGAGTTCACTGTAACGAACCACCATAGTTAGCTAACGATGCTTTTGGGAAACGCACCCCAGTTCGGTTCGTACGTGAAGTTAACACTTATAAAAGCACTGAAGGCGCGATTTAAATAATGAATTATTTAATAGCCTGGTTCTAGGTTTCCATTAACCATGGTATAAATATTTGGGGGGGGGTTAACTACATTTTCTAAAATATGAACGTGTTTTAAATAGGCTACAGAAATTTAATGTTGTTTGTTGTTTTTCTTGCCTTTTGTTGTTTGATTAACATTAATGACAGATGGCTGAATGTGACGATCGTGTGCGGTTATCTAAATCAGACAAAAATATAGGTGCGGGCGGTTAGCGGGTGGATAATTTATTTGACGCTGCGGATTCGGGTGATGTTTTAGCTCATCCGCGCATCACCAGCAACACAGATGCAGGGCTGGACTGGTAATCGGGCATACCGGGCATTTTCCCGGTGGGCCGACGCATTTAAGGGGCCTACAGAAGGTGTTTTTTTTGTTTGTTTGTTTTTTGCCAAGGACCATCACGCACGGACAGCGAGCAGCCAGTGGCCCATTGGTTTGTCTCCTGTTTTGACAGCGTAAACAATGCGCTATAGATGGAGCTATGAAGAATTTTGCTTCGCCTATATAAAGATCGCTTCACCCCAACTTCTCCCTCGTCGGCTTTTTTCCCATGTTTTCACAGCAGCATTATCAAGAACAGGCTTGCTCTGCGGTGAGCGACATGAACAGAACGTTCCCATCTGGTCTTCTTTTAATATATAATAACGTTCCCAATATGACTTTAGGAGGATGTTCTATATTGGTTATTCTATGGTCACATAGCAACGTTACAAAGAGGACGTTTGGGGGTCACATAGCAACGTTACAAAGAGGACATTTGGAACGTTAACAGAACGTTCCCTTACAGTTCCCTGTTAGTCAGATGTGGACATTTCATTCGGGACTGTGCTGCAACATATCTTCCTGACCCATTTGGAAACATTGGAAGCACTCATTTCACGGTGAGCGTGATTTCACCAAGTATAACATGTTCCTGGATAGGAACATGTTGATAGCCATCTTGTTAGGGACCATTCACATATCGCGTTTTTTGCGCGCTCAAGTTC